GGTACCCCCCCCCCCCCCCCCGGCCGGGTTTGCCCCCGGAAACCTTTTCGGAAACCTTTCCGGAAAAGGGGGGGGATTTAAAAGGCCCCCTGGCCTTTGGGGCATTTTTAGGGGCCGGGGCCGCCCCCGCCCCCCCGGGACCCCAATTTTGCCCCGGGGGGGGGGGGAAAAAGTTATGGGGGCCGGGGGCTTCACCCCGGGTCTTAAAAAAAGGGGTTGCCCTTGGGGGAAGGGGTCAAGGCCCTGAGCCCCCCGGAAAAGGGGGGTTTTTTGGGGGGGTTTCCCGGGGGTTTTGTTTTTTTTTTTTTTGGTTTCCCCCCCCCCCTTTTTAATGGTTTTTTGCCCAAAAAAAAGGGGGGGGGCCCAAGGGGGGAAACCAAGGGCCCCGGGAAGGGGGGGTCCCTTTGGGTTCCCCCCCGGGCTGGGGAAGGGGGGGGTTTAAAGGGCCCTGGGAAAGGGGGAAAAAACCCCTTTTTTGCCCCAAGGGCAAAAACGGCGGGCCCCTCCGAAATTTTTTTCGGGGGGGTTTTTTTTGGCTTCCCATGGGCCCCTCCAACCCTAGGGGTTCCCCTTTGGCCCCGACCCCCCCCCCCCCCCCCCCCCCCGTGTATGCCACAGGCGCTAATTCCGGACTACATGCCGGGGAACCCCTACAGGTGTGCATACCGAAAGAACTTACTTGTGACCTGTTCTTTGGTGCTTGACTTGTGATGGAAGCTTTCTCTCTGTTTTTTTTTTTCTTGTTTCGGTCACCATCCCGTGTTCTGTCAGAGAGGCGCCCCTCGCAGTTTCTGCCCTTTTCAGGCATCTCCTCCCCGGTGCCCTGCTGTGCCTCTCTGTTATTTGACAGAATTGTTGAGAGTCGTGTGTACGGAGGGGGGCCTTGTGCGTCCGTGTGTTCTCTTGCAAGCATCAACACCTAAACTTGCCAGCCGGTTGATGAGTGAGAATGGCACGAGTTCCGGCGGCAAAAAAAGTATAAAAAACAACGAAAAACGAACAACCTCCCCCGCGAACTCTGTGGTGTGTGCACACGTGTGCACGACAAAATAGTCGGGCGTACATGGAACAGCAGCGTCTCGCACATGAACATCTTGAGTGCTACAGACCGGCCAATGTCGTCTTAATACACTTGTACCGCTGTACAGCTGTTATTCCATGTTGTGCAAGGAGTCCTTCTGCTGAAGTAGCGAAAACCGTTACGCGTCGTTTGTGTACTCATTCACTTCCCGCCCGACTTTTCAGCCCGTTACCTCAACCCCCCCCCCCCCATCCGGTGGTCATAATACCCACCCCTCCACCAATATTTTCATTCGCCGGCGCCCCCTTCTTTGTTTCACCCCCTCCTCGGGTCCTCGGGTACGACATACCATGATCATCATCATTATCATCCGATGTGCTTTCACTTTCAACTGCTGTTATTGTTGCCATCCGCACCGCTGCAGCGACTTGATCAAATCTGCTCTGGTACTCCTACGGCCTCCCGATGCACTCCCACGCTCACCGCTGTCGTTGTTACGTGCCGCCGCCTGCACCGCCGCAGCGAACTGATCAACCCGCTCTGGTGCTCCTACGGTCTCGGGGCGAGGCCGGCTACGGCGATCGCCCAGGACGGCACGATATTCTACCAGCAGGAGTGGCTGCACACGGGTGACCTGGCGGACGAGCTTGACGTGTTCCTCGAGGGCGGGGGCGACCCCGATGCCGCCGCCGCGTCGGGGGGGGGAAGGGGGAGAGCGGGGGCGGCGCAACATCAACACGGCTCGTTGGGTTCTGCGAGTCGATCTTCGGTTCTTCCTGCCCAGGGGTTGAAAAGGACGTGACGCGCCACCACCGTGGTTTGTCGAGAAAGAGATAACAAGTTTTACGTGAACGTTTTTTTTTTTTCTCGACTTGTTGCTGCTGTGTCGCTTGATCCTCTTGTGGTGGACTTTTTTCACGGCCACCACATGATCAATAATGTTTCCTGCCCTTGAAAGTGTTTTGGAGTCGACTGGAAATGACCCGGGTCAGGGAATTCAGTTGGATCGGCTACGGCGTTGTCGTGTTACGGTAGGGGACAGCAATGAGGCCGGACTCTTCCCCTCCTTTTTTTTTTTTTTTGTCGTGTCCACAGCTGCCGCTCGGTGTGACGGGAGTAGGTAGTATGGGAGTACGCCCGCGAGGGTGATGGGTATGGTGAGAGATACGCAGCCCCCCTGGGCGTTGAGGAGATCGGTCCCCCGGCAGGACTGTCCAAACATGTTTGCCTTTCTTTTGCTTCAAGTGCTGCTGCAAGAGATTCCATGTATCTATCTCCCTTCGCGAAACGAAAGCCCAGGATAAATTCGTGATGGAAATCGTAGCGTTTGCCTACATGCTGCTCTTCTCTTTGTGAACCTCGCGCGACATCGCGCGACATGGTACAGGGGTGGATATCCCCGCCTTGGTCAGTACCGTTGGCATGGAGGCGTGCGGGGTAGGGGTGGGGCATGCAAGATGTTTTTTGGTTCGCGTCGTGTCTTGCGCGACGAGTTTCTGCTTTGATTTGGATGTGGTGCCAGACGCCAGAAAGGGCTCGCCCCGCGCGCTTCGTCCCTCGTCCTGATTGGCTCCCAGCTAAGACAAGCCTGCAGCGCCTGCGGTTAGCGTGGGGGCGTGGTGGAGTCTGCCGTTGTCTTGTGTATAGTCTATCGTTGTGTGATTTATGTAGTAGTTGTTTGCGATCTCGTCAGCTAGGCAATAGGCGCCGAGGAGCCTTGTGTGGGGAGGGAGGGATGGGGGGGGGCGACTTGCATAGTTTTTTTCTAGAACCCTGATTTTTGAGTTTGTAGCCTAGACTGTTCGTGCATGTAGCAGGTGCTGCCGAACATTTCTCGATGGACACGGCACCGACACCTAACAGCATGGATTTCTTTTTCTTTTGCGCCACACCGCTTGGGGGGCGGGGAATGAAAGGGAAACATGCTGTGGCAACAAGAGAAGAGATCAAAGTTAGTTTGTCGCGAAAAGCACGTGATGTGATAACCGCAGCGCAGGACACATCAGCAGAAGCGGTGGGTTCCGAGGCATACATCCGACGGCAGTTCGTTGTTCGTTTGTTTTCAATCCCGGTAGGCTGCGCTACGCAAGCGACGACCTACAGCCCGTCTCGCCAACACCTTCCTTTATCGAAACAAACTCCCTATCGTCACAGCAATTTTAGGCCTGAGAATCATTACTGCTACGACGACTCCTCTCGCGCACGATGCAGTAGAAACGCGTCGAAAACCCACCGCCCCCAAAGCTAAGTAAGTACTTTTGGCGAAACGACCAATTGCTGAGAACGCAGGGAAGGGAGGGGATAGTGGTGGTTGGGGGTGTGAAAACACCTTTCACGGCGTTCGAGGCCGTAAAATTTAAGCAAAGAGAAAACAACTTATCCGTGTCATTTGCACAAAAAAAAAAAAAAAAGTACAAAACAAAAAGGGGAAACACCCCCAACAAACGGGAGGTCTGCCTTGAGTGGGTCACGGAGACAAAAAATCGGAGGCAGCCAGCCCACCCACCTCCCGGCTATCGATGGAAATAAAACTGTCACTCAGCAATCAGCGAGAGAGAACCGGAAAAAAAGCTCGGTTGCCGACGTTGCATGCGGCACGTAAAACATAACTCTTGTGCACTTTACCTTATGCATACAACAAGCGAGAGTGGCGAAAAAGATAAATAAAGCCACAAGCAACACACGGGACATGTCTGGAACTTTAACAATACCTACGAAATACTAACACTTTTCCGGTTGATCAACGAAGCACTAGAGCCAACCTGTCTCGACAAAAACTGCACAACTGACGATCAAAATACTCCACGCTATGATGATACCATGACAAATACTAAAACACTACACCACATACCCCCCCCCGTTCTGTACATCATGGCCCCGCCTTACGCCGAGAACACCGCCTGCTAACCTCCCCGGTCCCCTGTGCAGAAGCCGCGTCTTTCGGTCGCCCGTCTCTTGCCGGCGGGGGACCGTCATCCTTAAGCATAGCAATGAAGCGCGGCAGCGCCTTCATCCTGTCCTTCACATCCCGGGGCATGCGTTCACCCAACTCTCGACTCCCACCGACGCCGCGGGCTTCCTTTCTCCGCCCGGCGGCGTGTTTCCCGAGGTCGTACGTTACGCTTCGGGTCGTCTTAGAGGGGATGGGGGCACCGCTGCCGGGGTGCGGGGGGGAGTGGTGGTGGCCCCCGCGCTGCTGCTGTTGGCGTCGTTCTACCCGCATCCACTTGGCCTTAGCGTCCACCACGACCATCACCCCGTCACAGAACCGCACCTGCCGGGCGTGCCGTTGTTCCCGCGAGAGAAGAGTTTTGCAAGTGGTCGGTCCATCGTGGAAGGGTTGGGGGTAATTTTAGGTGACTTTTGGTCGTCCCGACTGGCGTCACAGGCCCTAGCATGCATCGGTGTACAGTTGGGCTTCAACGGAACTAAAAAAAAGTCCAGCACGCACCCCACAGGTTTTGTCAACAAACGATCTGTTTTAGACTTCATCACATCTCTACATTGTGACTACAATTGTACATCAAGGAGGAGGGAGTTTGTCTCCGTGTCCGAGCAGGTTGTCGTTTCGGGCCGGCAGGCAAGGGATGTGGCTGCTGGCTTGAAGCGCATGTACAGCAGGAGGCAGGACTCTTTCTTCGAAACCGTCATGAGACGTCGTCGTTGCAGCGGTTAAAAGGTGCCGCTCTTGCTTGCCCCACGTTCGCGACTCGAAACGTCCCGCAAGAACGACGACGGTAACGCGCGATCAACCAGCGTCAACAACGTGCAAGCCCACATCAGCAGCAACAGCACCCAATCAGAACAGAAAATATTTCTAGAAAAAACACCCCCAAATAAATTTGCGCGGACGGCAGAATGTGCGAAAAACAAAAAAAGGTTGACGGTATTCACGCATGTGCCTCCCTAACGCCTTACCTCGAGGTCGCCGTCTCCGTTCCTGCATGCCTCCCCCACCCCGGGAATGCTGGCGCCACCACGTCGCCCCCTGTCGGGTAGCGGTCTGAGATCCTCGTCACGGGGAGGGGCAGCAGCAGCGGCCTTGCCCCCGCGGCCCCGCCGCGCCGCGCTATTCGGGGGGGTTGTTGGCTCTGCTGGCAACACCCCGACTGCTTGGGCTAGGTTGCCCTCGGAGAACGACGAACAGGTTGATGGGTTCGGGTCGAGACGCGGCCCCCCTCCTTCTCTTCCTCCTCCTTCTCCTCCCCCTCCTCCTCCTGCCTCTCCAATTCTTCTTCCCCTCGCACCCCCACGTCCTTCTGCTCCCCCGCCTTGTCCTCCTCCTCCTCCTCCTCCTCTTCCTCCTCTTCCTCCTCCCAGTTCCCCGTCACCGTACATGAAGACAGCTTGTCCCCGACGCTGCGGCGGCAGGAAGGGTGCGCGTCCGGTGACGTCTCGAGTAGCAGTGTCATCCCTCTCCGGCCCCGCCGGTGCAAAGAGCGGCGGCGAGGCCGCCCTGCTCACGGCCGCGAGCACGACTCCGGGGTGACGGTCCGCCGCTATTGGTGGGGGTGCCGGCGATAGCTGTTGGGACCCCTCGGGGGAGCAGGCCGGGCGCTGGTGCTGCCTCGACTGCTGCTGCCGTAGCTCACTGCTGCATCGTTCAGCGTACACGAAGCTTCCGGCGGAGCTCGCATCGCGCCAACCGCCGTCCTTGCCGGCTTTGTCGACGGAGATGCCGCCGCCGCTCCCGCCGCCGCCGCCGCCGCCGCCGCCGCCGCCGCCGCCGCCCCTGCCGCTGCCGTCGTCTTCACGCCAACCAAGGCCGCCACCATCCCGCCGGCTGCTGGGCTCTTCTGCTCTTCTCGCGCCCCTTGGCGACACCGAGCTGTCCGAAGCGTTGGAGCTGCTGGCGCCGTCTTCTTCCTCTCCCCGCCACCACGCGCCCAGCCCAGCCGCGCGCCCGCTCCCCGCCCCGGAGCCGCAAGCCTGGTTGCTGCTGCCGCCGCCACCACTTTCCTTCGCCTCCCCCAGGCACCCGTCGATCGCAGGCCTCCCCATCCTTCTCGCGACACCCGCTCCCCCTGCCGATGACGGGACGGGGGAAGACGCAACGGCGGCTCGGGGGGGAGGGGAGCTCTCGAGACAGACGCTAAAAGATAACAAACATTACAGCCACCCGCTATGAATGGGTGGTTGGGACCGTTGAGGAGGCCGCTGTTCGTAGCGCGTTCGACAAGCAGAAAATAACAGAA